CATGTGGACGGACTCTCTAGTGACACTTTCGTGGATCAAATCTCATGCATCACGCTGGAAGGATTTTGTCAGGAACAGGGTGGCTCAAATTCAAGAACTCACTCCAGCCGCTCACTGGAGATACATTCCTGGGACTTCTAATCCGGCTGACTGCGCATCACGAGGCCTCACAACTGCTCAGCTTCAAAACCACGCACTGTGGTGGACGGGACCACCATGGATACTCAAACCAGACTCATGGCCGTCGCAACCAGCACTCTCTGAAGAGATGAGTGCTACAGAAGCTCGCCCAGGCGTTTCGCTATTGACGGTTACGCCAAGGGCTGAATATCAATGGGACCTCATCTACAGGTACTCAAACCTCACGAAACTATTGAGGATTACAGCTCTCTGTTTCAGATTCGTCTCACGGTTGAGGAAAGTCCACGACTCATGGCCTGTCAGACACATCTCTCCAGAGACCATGGAAAAGGCGAGGCTCTTCTGGATCCAGGCAACCCAAGCAACGTACTTCTCGCACGAGCTCAAGGCATTACAGGCAGAGTCACCGTTAGCAAAGGCGCACGCATTCAACAGACTGACTGCGTACATCGACGCTCAAGGAGTCATTCGCGTCGGCGGACGACTAGCGCACGCAGCTCTCTCACTCGACGCGACACATCCTGTGATACTGCCTCGTCACTGTCAGCTGTCGTCATTGATCATCGCTCACGCTCATCAACGGACTCTACATGGAGGCACGCAGCTCACGCTGTCACACATCCGACAACGATACTGGATTCTAGGCGGGAGGGCTCCTGTCAAGTCTCACATCCTGCGGTGTGTCACGTGTGCTCGTCAGAGGGGGATCCGTGCTCATCAATTGATGGGCCAACTACCTCTCTCTCGAGTTACGCAGGCACGACCGTTCACTCATACAGGTGTGGACTACGCAGGGCCGCTCACCGTCAAAACATGGAAAGGAAGAGGTGCCAAAACAACAAAAGGCTGGATTTGCGTTTTCGTCTGCTTTTCGACCTCAGCAGTACATCTAGAGGCGGT